TATTTTAGTTTTATCTGCAGTATATTGCCCTATGTTGCATGTGATTTGCGATTTGATTTGTTTCTCAGGATAAAGAGACACTGAGAATCACTTTTGGAGGGTTTTGTTGCTTTAAGTTGGTGACGATTGCAACACAACACAATGGTAGTTACACTAGCTCTCTGCAACTCTCACATGGTCGTCCACTGAAGCTAAGCAGGGCTGCGCCCTCCTGGATGAGAGACCACATGGGAAAGCTAGGTTGCTGCCGGAAATGGTGTTAGTGTGGCCAGCAGGGGGCTCCCTGTGTGGGTCCTAACGCTCCAGTAAAGTGACGGGGACTCTATATTGCTCAGTGAGTGCCGTCTTTCGGATGAGACGTTAAACTGAGGTCCCCACTCTCTGTGGCCGTTTCACCCTGGCATCCTGGCCAAATTTGTCCACTGGCCTCCTAACCATCCCATTATCATAATTGGCTTCATCACTCTGTCTCCTCTCCACCAATCAGCTGGTGTGTGGTGTGAGGTCTGGTGCAATAAGGCTGCCGTCGCATCATCCAGGTGGATGCTGCACACTGGTGGAGGATGAGGAGATCCCCCCTAAAAATGTGTAAAGCGCTTTGTGTGTTTAAAAAAGTGCTATATAAATGTAAGGAATTATTGTTGTTGTTGTTGTTACTATTATTATTATTATTATTATTATTATTATTATTACTGTTGTTGTTATTATTATTAGTTAGTATTATTTTTATTGTTATTATTAATATTATTAAGTGTGCAGAGTTACTGAAGTTTGTCCTGCGCTCTTGCATTTTTTTTAGTTACTTCTTTGGTTTGGTGCGTTAATCTGATCGTTACTATTATTCAAAAGAAGGTAATGATTCGCACTCAATTGTTTCATACTGTTTTTATTTTAACTTTTACTTACATTTTACGGGTGATAACAGACAAACAGACTTTTCGGCACAAAGCCTTCCTCAGTGTGTATAAAAACAGTATGAAGCAATTGAGTGCGAATCATTACCTTCTTTTGAATATTAATATTATTATAAATTTTATTGTTATTATTATTAGTAATATTATTATTATTATTAATAATATTAATATTATTATTACTGTTGTTGTTATTATTATTAGTATTATTATAAATTTTATTGTTATTATTATTAATAATATTATTGTTATTATTATTAGTATTATTATTAGTTTTATTATTGTTGTTGTTATTATTGTTATTGTTGTTGTTGTTGTTGTTATTATTATTATTATTATTATTATTATTATTATTATTATTATTATTATTGTTGTTGTTGTTGTTATTATTTTATTGTTTTTATTATTAAACATAATATTATTATTACTGTTGTTGTTATTAGTAGTAGTATTATTATTAATTTTATTGTTATTGTTATTATTATTAATTTCATTGTTATTATTATTATTATTATTATTATTATTATTATTAATATTAATAATAATAATAATTTTGTTAGTGTTATTATTATTATTATCATAAATAATTTTATTATTATTATTATTATTATTATTATTATTATTATTATTAGATGATTATATAATAATGAAGAAAGTTAACACATTACTTAATATAAGAATGTTCAGTGCATTTACCTGTCTCTTTATAACTACTTTCGGGAGCCACCAAACTAGCTCAGAGGTCACGGAGACCTTGAGTGAAACTGAAGAGCTGAGGACTGGAAGCAACTGTTTCTATTGTTATCACTATCTAAAATGTCTAAAGTGATTCTGCTATTTTACGGTAAATTCTTTTAAAGTGATTCTACTTTTTATTCAAGATAGGCTTTGTGCAGTAAGGATAACTTAACTGCCTGAATGTAGATTTCACTGTTTTTTAACCAGTTTTGATGAAGACGACTGCTCAGCCTTAGGTAAGAAACAGATTGTACTTTAAGTGTGTGTGTTCTATTTGATTGTGGGTCCGTTTCACAGGTCTGGAGTCAGCTCTAAACAGTCTAGTGGATGTCTGATGTTTATAGGCTTAAGATATTGTTCAGAATTGTACCCACGTGGAAATTTCTATCTGTGTTTTAACCCATTAGGTTAGAACACCTATATGTATGACGCAGTCAATAACATTATGTAAGAGTATAATTGTTATTGATTTGTGAATGGAAGCAGAGCGGCCTAGGAACTCATCGTGAGTGTTGAAGCTGGCTTCTGCTGATGAAACTACAGACTATCTTCAGCAAACTTAATTTATTTATTTGAATCTCTGACTCCGGCTTTTCTTCATCTGACAGACTGCTCATTCTTTGGGTTAAAACTGTACATCTACATCCTCCCTATGATATCTTTTTGTTTTGTGTTCAACAGAAGAAAGAGTCATAAAAAGTTTAAAACCACTTGAGTTTAAGTCAATTTCTGGGTGAACTATCCCTTTAATGGAAGAACAAACAAACAAAAAAACATGTCAAGCAAGGGGTCTGGCACTTTAGATTAGCAAAAAAAGAGAGAAGAAGAAAAAAAAAGCCACCAGCTACTGGCACCAGATTTTCCAGATTTGAGTCGTTTTTTTTCCTTCCAGCGCTTTCCTCTGTTCAACAACAGGAAGTAATTAAGGCCAATTATCCTCAGGTCAGACAGTCACTTGATAAGTTTTCGTGAACTGCGATGTCAAAGGTCACAGCTCACACTTATCATCCTATCACAGCATTCTCTAAACAGCAGTCGCTTGCCTCACGCTTTCACCATGGTATGCGCATGTATTCTGCCCTCTTTACAGCCACGTTTTTTATTTTCACTCTAACCTGCAATTGCCTCAGAGTTTCCAGTAACCATGCGGACCTATATATACACCGTTTATAGAGCTTTCAAGGACAGCGTACATGTGGAGGACTATATTTCCAGTTATGTGAAGAATATATATATATATATATCACCTGCTATTTTAACATTTACAGCACTGGGGAAACTAGAGAGAACTCGTTTTGAGATCAAAGCAGATATTAATGGCTAATTATAGTGTTTAATTACAGTAACTATTTGAAAACAGACTTGCTAAAATAGCCTAACAGACGAATTTACAGTCAAAACATCATTAAATAGAGCACAAGGGAATTATATTGATATGGACTTTACAATAAGATTTCAGTAGTTTGTGTATTTACTAATGTGAACTATTTATGAACAATATTTGTAGAGCATTGATTAATCGTGGTTTATTATTTACTAATGCATTATTAACATCCAGACTCATGCTTATTAACTGAATGCACTGTGAGTTAACATGAACTAACAATGAACGACTGTATTTTCACTATCTAAGGTTAACTAACATGAACAAATACTGTAATGTGTTGTTCATTGTTTTTTTTTTTTTTTTTTTTGCATTATATTAACCAGCACAACCTAATAGTAAAGCCTGAGCATTATTAAACACATTGCATGTAGAAAATGCATTAATTCCAATACACCTTAGTTATGTTTTTTAACCAGCTTTGTCAGTATATAGATATGTTACATTAAATTAAATCAGCTCTTCCAGACTCCAGTGTGTCTTTTATATTCAATGCAGGCTATAACTGGTGATTTTATAGACTTAATGAAGCACCAAGTATGTTATATTGACTTCCACAGTATTGTAGACATCTACAGGTTTCAGTTTTCTTCAATATATCTTCTCAATCACTTAACAGAAGACAAAAGACAGATTTGAAACCATGTAAGGGAGAGTTTACACTCAATATATATTGACATTTAAAGGCTTCGCTAGGTTAATTAGGTTAACTAGGCAGGTTAGAGTAATTAGGCAAGTTATTGTATAGCGATGGTTATATAAAGTATATAGCTTAAAGGATCTAATAGTTTTGTCCCTAAAATGGATTTGAAAAAATTAATAACTGCTTTTATTCTAGCCGAAATAAAACAAAAAAGACTTTCTCCAGAAGAAAAAATATTATCAGACATACTGTGAAAATTTCCTTGCGCTGTTAAACGCATTTTAGGAAATATTTAAAAAAGAAAAATTCAAAAAGGGGGGCTATTAATTCTGACTTCAACTATATATATATATATATATATATATATATATATATATATATATATATATATATATATATATATATATGTTTTCAGCTTGTTCAAACTACTTATTTAAAAAGATCTGAATTAACACAAATCTAGATTTTTTTTTGTGTTGGGACTAAATTGTCTTAAGTTCAATCCACTTAAATTAAAGTTAACTTAATTAGTTTTGGTTCGGGGGAAATAACTGTATATGTGAATCCCTACTTGTTGTACTAAATAGTGAGTGAAGGATTCCTTTAAAGCCTCTTCGAGGATCCTTCGCTTTTTAAGAGTGCAGCATATTTTTATGTTATTTAATGTAAACAGAACACTACAGAAGTCCTTCGAGGCCATGCAATATATATTTCTTGTTTTCTCGTGATCATCATATACAAGCATCAAGTTACATGAGGAAGATTCTGGTTTAAAGGCCGGAGTGTTGGCTACATATAGAAAATGTTCGGCCCAATCATACTATTATTAATAATAATAAAATAATAATACTACTAATAACAATATAAATAAATAAATATTAATAATAATAATAATAATAATTATTATTATTATAACAATAACAACAACAACAACAACAACAATAATAATAATAATAATAATAATAATAATAATAATAATAATAATAATAATAATAATAATAGTAATACATTTCCCAGAGATGGGTTGTGGCTGGGAGGGCATCCGCTGCGTAAAAAACGTGCCAGAGAAGTTGGCAGTTCATTCCGCTGTGGCGACCCCAGATTAATAAAGGGACTAAGCCAAAAAGAAAATGAATGAATAATAACAATAATTATAATAATAATAAATACAATAATAATAATATTAATAATAATAATAAACACATAATTAAATAAAAGCAAAAAATAAGTCGTGATCACAAGAAAACAGAGAAAAAAAATATTTTAATGCGTGACCTCTTTACACCATAATAAGAGCAGAAACTGCCACCCAGCTGACACTTACCTAGATTGACAAAACTCATGACCATGTCCGCATCATTAAGAAAGTTTGTGTCGTGCGCGTTCGCCAGCGGCGGGCTCTGGCTGCTGAGCGGCGCGGCGCGGGAGTGTTGCGGCTGCGGAACACGCGGTGGCGCGCGCGAATATCCGTGCGGAGCTCCGGGCGCGCTTTTACGCACTTTCCCCGCGAGCGATTTCCCCAGTATCTCGTTCTCCTCTTCCGTCGTCATCGCGTTGTAGAGATCCAGCATGAAGAGCGGCGCGGACGACGCCTGCTTGCCCGGGGAGAACGGCCTGGGTCGGTGAGGCAAGCCCAGGATGGAGAGGATCTCTCTCTGGATCTCGCGGCGCTCGTGGTTCCGCAAGCGCCTGTAAATAAAGCTCGAGTGCACATGGTTGTCTCCCAAACCGCACTGAACGCCGTGAAGAAAGCCTAAACAGCTCCACAGAAGTCCAAATGTTCTCATCTTGACCAGGATGATGATGCTTTCAGCTGATGATGCTGCTGCTCTCCATGGCGCACCAACTTTCTCCTCCACAAAAGTATTAAATCCTTCTTTAGACTCTGTTTGGACTTCTTTCTTCACTACATCCTCTCTGCTATCATTCAGATTGCTTCGATTAACGCGGTATGTATGTGACTATGCGCGCGCTCTTCACCTGTGAGCAGAAGCGCACTGACTTAAGCGCATCCCTGCATGAGTGCCGAACGCTGAAGTCCGTCCCACACTTTTTAAGGGTTTGCATCCACCTCTAGCGGTCGTGTATAGCCTATAAAGCATGGTTTGACCCGGGGCATGAACGCAAGCTCACCGTGAAATGAGAGACACTTGATATTTGAGCGCTTTCGTGATTAGTCAAAGGAAAAGCGCAGGCGGACACACACACACACACACACACACACACACACACACACACACACACACACACACACACACACACACACACACACACACCTGTCAGCTTTATTTCAGCTGCAGCAGCTTCTATTCGCGCACTCAGGGCACTTTAGAGTAAGTGGTTTGGCCCTGGTTGGCACTGGCTTTGTTTGGGGCTTCTGTTATTGTTGTTTTTAACTTATTAAAGAGGAAACGCGAATGCAGCTGTGAGAGGGCAACACATATTTACTGGTACAGGAGGATCGTTATTGGATTTGTATGTGCAAAATTTCCTGTAATATTTCTGAGCTAGAGCTGGTGGCGAAGGAATTTAGTCAGAAATGCTTTTATTTTTTAAAACAATTCATTAATAATAATAATAATAATAAGTTAATGAATATAATAATGGTGAAACAAATAACAACAGCAAAACACAATACTAATAATAATAATTACAAAGTAATAAATAATTTAAAAATAAAGTATGATGAAAATAATAATAATAATAAAACATAATATAAATAATAATAATAAAAATACAAAATAATAATAATAAAATACAATAAAATATATTAATTAAAATAAATTACAATAAAATAATAATTTTAAAACATAATAATAATTCTAATAATACTTATTATTACTATTATTATTGGTGGTTCATTCTGCTGTAGCGACCCCGGATTTATAAAGGGACTAAGCCGAAAATAAAATGAATAAATGTATTATTATTATTATTATTATTATTATTATTATTATTATTATTATTATTATTATTATAAATTAATAAAAACAAGGAATGGTAAAAAAAACTTCAAAACAATATTAATAACAACAACAATAAAAATAACAATAACAACAATAATAATAATGATAATAATAATAATAATAAAGTAATAAATTATTTAAAATAAAGTGAGATGAAAACGATAATAATAATAATGATGTTAAAACACAACGATAATAATAATAATAATGAGAAGAATAATAAAATAAAATAAAAATAATATATTAATAAAAATAAATTCTGATATAATAATACCAATAACAATAATAATAAAATTAATAATAATAATAATAATCACAATAATACATTGTTAAAAGTAAAGTATGATGAAAATGATAATGATAATAATAATAATGATAATAATAATAAAAAAACAATATATGGTAAAAAAAACAGTAAAACACAACAACAACAATAATAATAATAATAATAATAATAACAATAATAACAATAATAATAATAATAATAATAATAATAATAATAATAATAATATATTCCTAAAAATTAATTCTGATAAAATAGTAATAATAATAAAAATTATAATAATAATGTTAATTATAGTTATGACTATTATCAATTATGTCATGATTTACAGAAAGCAAAATATACGTTGTGTGCATAATAAATATTAAATAATATATAACAAATATAATTTTTTTATTATTCATTCATTCATTTTCTTTTCGGCTTAGTCCTTTTATTAATCAGCGGTTGCCACAGCGGAATGAACCGCCAACTTATCCAGCACATGTTTTACGCAGCGGCTGCCCTTCCAGCCACAACCCATCTCTGGGAAACATCCACACACACTCAGACTCATACACTACGGACAATTTAGCCTACCCAATTCACCTGTACCGCATGTGTTTGGACTGTGGGGGAAATCGGAGCACCCGGAGGAAACCCACGCGAAGGCAGGGAGAACATGCAAACTCCACACAGAAACACCAACTGACCCAATCCCAATTTGTTTAATATATTTAAACAAAATAACTAAATCTTAATTATATCTTGAAAAGGGATCATTGGATGAGGTAGGCCTATTACAATTCTTCAAATAAATTAAAAATACATAGATGCGTATTGTCTTCTGAAATCTTTATACTTTGCCTGTGTTTTATATCTGTATAGTCCAGCTATGGTGAATTTCACCTATAATTCGACTTGTTTTTTTTTACAAGTTATTTAAAGTTTTAAAGTAGACACATTACCTGCTACTGTGGTACTGTGTATACTGTATTAACTGTAATGCAACATAAATAAATATCTCCCTCAAATATGATATAAAGAGATTGACTTCAAGTGATCTGATATAAAGACCTTCAGCTTTATTCGAAAACATTTGAAATATACAAAAGAGCAACAGCGACATCTATAGGACTGAATATGAGAAACAGCAGAATTACAGCGGGCGAGTTTTCTTCAGCAATCAGTTAACAATATTACTCCATCAGTTCTTAATTATGGTATTTTGATTTAATGTTGTGATTTGAGGTTAGATTTGTAACCAAGAAAATTGTGAGTAGAACATTGTTTTAATTTGGGATTGTTTGCATGTTGTAGGAATCCTATGGTACAATGCTTTATATACACACTTGTTTATTTTTTTACTTGTTGTATTTATATTTATTTGAATCATTCTTATTTAAAAATTTATTTGATTATTTTTTTGTTTATTTTATTTTATTTATATTTTTATTATTTATTTATTTATTTATTTATTTTTTCACTTATTTTATTTATATATATGTTAATTGCTTTTTATTTAAATATTTAATACTTTTTTATATATATATATATATATAATTATTTTATTTATTTTATTCATTTTCTTATTATTTATTTATTTTATTTCTTATTTATTTCATTTATATTTATTTGTTATTATTTATTTATTTATTTAATTTCTATTTATTGTATTTATATTAACTTTATTTTTTATTTCAATATTTAATTTTTTATATATTTTTATTTATTTTCTTTTTATTTGGTTTATATTTTTTATCATTTATTTGTTTATTAATTTTTTTTATTTACTACTAATTATTTTTTTAATAATTTCTAATTATTTTTTTTTGTTTATTGCATTTACATTTATTTATTTATTTTAATTGTTTTTATTTAAATATTTAATTATTTATTTATTTTATTTATTTTAATTATTATTTATTTATTCTCAACATATAAATCAACAACAGCAGAAACAATAATAATAAAAAAAGATTTAATCAATATTATCAAAAGTCATTTGAACACATACAAGTTATAAAAAAAGAGAAGAAGAGCTGTAACTGATATCAGTTCTTATAAATAACAGAAAAGAAATATACATTTATGGGAAGGTGTGCTTCTTTACACTCGACTACACACCCTTTATCAAGAAAAACACTAATCATTATTTCTATGCCATTTACTATAGATATTATCTAATCACTCACATATGTAATGTTGTTCCCAAAATCTGGAAACATCACATAATAAAAAATAGAAAAACAAAGCGTGACCCAGATCTGGAAAAGATGTAGAATTTACAGGAATTGTAGTTTTTGTATTAATTGAAATTCTACTTATATATCAGCAAATATAAATTCATTCATTTTCTTTTCAGCTTATTTGCTTTATTAATCTGGGGTCGCCACAGCGGAATGAACTGCCAACTTATCCAGCATGATTTTATGCAGTGGATGCCCCTCCAGCATCCCTTTCCCATGTCTGGGAAACATCCACACACACTCATTCACACACACACTCATAAACTACGGACAATTTAGCCTACCCAGTTCACCTTTACCACATGTCTTTGCACTGTGGGGGAAACCAGAGCACCCGGAGGAAACCCACACGAACACAGGTAGAACAAACTCCACACAGAAACGCCAACTGACCCAGCCGAGGTTTGAACCAGGTGACTAATTGTTCATATAATTATTAAGTGTACAATTCCTCTAATTTTTACCTGTTTTCCTGACCCTGGTTGTGCTTTTTTTTTAATTAAGTGATACTTCCAGATTTTGTGCACAGCACTACAAGCACCTTTGAAGAACCTTTAACATCCATGGAACGTTTTCAATGCACAAATGCTTCTTTGCACTATACAATATTTCTTTACATACTCTGAAAAAAAAGATTCATTTGATTTACTAAAATTAAGGTCAGTGATTGTGTAACCCCGCCAATCCTACGCCACCCAACCCGCTCCGGGCTGGTATCGTCCTGGCAACTTCCCGCATGGGAGTCGGCTCCTTTAACAAGGAGACCATGGCCTCTAGTGTGTGTGGCTAGAGCACAGTTAGAGGTCAGAGGAGTGAGGTTTACCTGCACAACACACACTAGCTGGCCTCCGTTACAATTGCAAACAATTGATACTGGCTGAATTTAAACAAATGAAGTTGAACATTACTTAGGCCCCGTTTACACTAGTGCATTTAGTTTGAAAACGGCTTTTGGATCACTTGACCATTCGCGCACTCTAGGCATGCGCGTTTTAGCGGATGTATGCCGCCGCTGTAGTAAAAAAGGCAGAGTTTAACTGCACAATGGCGCCTAAAACAGACAATAGTGCAAACAACGCTCCCATTTCTGTGTCCATGTTGTTGTTTACAGTGAAGACTGGTCTCTTGTCTTCCGGTAGCGTTAAAGCCATGTGTTATAGTCATGTGATAGGGGCTTGACGAATAAGGGAAGGATACGCAATGACACAAAAGCCCCAATCAGCTAGCGAATCTCAGCAGCCCCGCCTCCGTTTTCAGATGTCTCCGTTTTCCCTCATCCACACTGAGACGGAGCAGCAGCGCTTCAGAATGTAAACAGCCTCTCCAGCGTTTCCAAAACGCTCCGTTTTCGGCGCTCGAAAACTCCGGCGTAGTGTGGACGGATGGCGTAACCGTAGTAAAACGTATGCGTTTTCAAACTGAAACGTATTAGTGTAAACAAGGCCTCAGTTTGTTTGTTTAAATTCATTCATAAACATTGTTTGCAAGCACTCACCTTGAAAAAAAATAGTAAATCCAATTAATCATTTTTTTTTTCAGTGAGAAAAGTGGATTTTCATTGGTCTAAATATGATATGGGAACCCTTTTACCACACACACACACACACACACACACATTACCAAAAGACATCAGTATTACTTAGAAGTCATTGTTGAAGCGTCGTTAAAGAACTCTTAAAACTCTAAAGACAAACTTGCAAGCAGCAAAAAAAAAAAAAAAAGCCCAACCAGAAAAACAAAGATGATCGCAAAACAGACAGGAAATCTGGCATGAAGAACACAATGAGATGATTAGCTGGCGATGGTTGATTGGGAGCGAAAAACTGAGGAGGTTTGTTGAACCGTAGGTAGAATCTCCAGAAATCCTCACACTGGATGATTTTTCACAAGCGTTCGGATGCGTTCGGTTCCTCCAGACTATAATAAATCATGGCCCAGGATGGAGTCATGGACAGCGGGTGGTTATAAAGAGGACCTATTATGCAGAAATCACTTCTATAAGGTGTTTAAATGCAGTTGAGGGTAAGAGTGTGTGAATATATTCAGCTTCTAACGGCAAACATTTATTAATCCTATTGTTTATAATCAGTCTTGATGAAAACAGAAACACTTTGATTGACATTCTCCCTTTGTATGATGTCATAAGTGGGGAAAGCCCCGCCCCCTAGTGACCATCACTCTCTCATTAGCAAAAGACCTCAGTTTTGTTTTTGAATCTGCCACTATGCTGACACACAGGCATTTGTAGCTCCACCCTCTTTTGACAAGAGCCCAATCTCATTTGAATTTAAAGCGACAGTCACCAAAATGACACAATTAGGATCAACCTAAACGGCGGAGGGTTATTAAACATTGTTTGTGTGGTATTTTGAGCTGAACTTCACTACACACACTCTTATAAATAGGGGCATAATAGGTCCCCTTTAATGTAGGCAGCTTCATCTTATTATTTACACTTATTCGAGGTACTTCATGCGTCCGCGAGTGTGCGAGACACTCAGATATGATCATCCTGAGATTGGCTGTGTGTGTTTTTTTCTTTCTCCTCCAGCGCTGCGTCCAGACTGTCTGCATTGTCAATAGTTTGGCCCTTTACTGAAGGGATCCCTCCGTATCATCGCGCCGTAGCACATGGCCGGATGGCAGACGCCGGGCTGACCTGGCTCTCCGCTTTGACCTCGCTTGCCTTCCTTGCCTTCGTGGCCAGGTGAGCCTGGTTTACCTGCTTGACCTGGTTTTCCGACCCCTGCTGGACCTGTCGGACCTGGAACATTATACAGCTGATGTCAGAATTATTTAACGGAGAGCAGATTTCTTCAGCACATTTCTAATCATAATAGTTTTAATAACTCATCATCTCTTATAACTGATTTATTTTCACTTTGTCATGATGACAGTAAATAATATTAGACTAGATATTCTTCAAGACACTAGTATTCAGCTTAAAGTGACATTTAAAGGCTTCACTAGGCTAATTAGGGTAAAGTTAGGGTAATTAGGCAAGTCATTGTATAACTGTGGTTTGTTCTGGAGACAATCCAAAACTAATATTGCTTAATGGGGCGAATAACATTGACCCTAAAATGGGTTTTAAAAAAATTAAGAACGGCTTTTATTCTAGCCAACATAAAACAAAAAAGACTTTTTCCAGAAGAAAAAATACTACAGGAAATACTGTGAAAAATTCCTGAATCTGTTCAACATCATTTGGGAATTATGTGATAAAGAAAAGAAAAATCTACAGGAGGGAAAATAATTCTGACTTCAGCTGTACATTATAGATAGTCAGGCTTTATTTTAAAGGGGTGTCATTATGCTTTTTAAGCTTTCAGCTTCCTATAATGCCTACTGTTGCTATTTGAGCATTAATAAAAAAAATAATAAATGTGCAAAATAAATAAAAAAATAAATAAATAATACATAATTAAATAAATAATATAAAATACAATGCTTTGCAATAAAATAAAATAAGAAATATAAAATAAAGTAAAAAAAACAAGACAAAATTAAATTATTAAATGAATTCATCATTATATAATTAAGTTAATTGAAATAAATTTAATAAATTAAAAAAATTAGACACTTCTTGAAAATACAATTAAGCATTCATCCATTAGAGTAAAGTTTTAATAATTGTTATATTATTCTATGAAGATCTGAGTTCATTCATTTATTAATTTTCCTTCGGCTTAGTCACTTTATTCATCAGTGGTCTCCACAGTGGAATGAACCACCAACCTATCCAGCATATGTTTTACGCAGCGGATGCCCTTCTGGCTGCAACCCAATACTGGGAAACACCCATACACACTCACATTCACACACACTCATCCACTACGGCCAATTTAGTTTATTCACTAAGTAAAACATGCTGGATGACTTGGTGGTTCGTTCCACTGATAATAAAGGGACTAAGCCGAAAGAAAATGAATAAATCTATGAATGAATTTTATTTTATGCCAAAAAAAGACATTTAAACCGAGGATTATCAAGTTTTCCCTCAAACCTGTATTTTCTGATTTTGCATTATAGGTGTGTTGTTGCCACTGATTTATATATAGAATTAGATGCTCATGATGTAATATAAAGTGAAGTCACTAAGCCGCCATATTGGTATTCCCTAGTATGTTCACATATTCTATTGAGTTTAAGGAAATATGCTCTCTTTGAAGGATTTCATTTTAAAAACAAAACACTGTCCTAAGGTCTGTCGTCTCCAAAACATGTGCATCGTTATATATTTGTGAGCTGTTCTGCTACTAATTAAAGATAGATCTTCTTCTGTGCTCTTGGTTAACAGCAGGTGGCAGTAATGTGTAATTGTAAATCACTGTGGCCACATTCTCACTTGCAAAATGCAAATAAAAAACCTGTAAACAAACCACATTTCAATATATTTTTTTGCAAGATTATTTCAAAGACTGCTTTCATATACTTGTGGAGAAATGAAGAAGTTTTGCTTTAAATGTTAAGCATTTTATGTTCTGTTTCTGGGCGACACGGTGGCTCAGTGGTTTGCACTGTCGCCTCACAACAAGAAGATCGCTGGTTCGAGTCCACACTGGACCAGTTGGTAATTCTGTGTGGAGTTTGCATGCTCTCCCCATGCATTTATTTACCTTTGGCTTATTTATCAGGGGTCGCCACAGCGGAATGACCTGCCAACTAATCCAGCAAATGTTTTACGCAGCGGATGCCCTTCCAGCCACAAGCCAGTACTAGGAAGCACCAATACACACTCAAGTTCACACACACACACTCATACACTACGGCCAATTTAATTAATAAATTCCCCTATAGCTCGTGTTTGGACTGTGGGGGAAACCGGAGCACCCGGAGGAAACCCACGCCAACACGAGGAGATCATGCAAACTCCTCACAGATGATCCAGCTGGGACTCGAACCAACAAACTTTTTGCTGTGAGGCGAAAGTGCTAACCACTTCGCCCCAGGAAACATTCCCACTTAAATGTTCAGCTATAAAGTGATAGTAATGCTGCATCTGCTCACCTGGTGGTCCTGGTAGACCTGGGTCTCCGATTACTGACCGTCCTTGACTCCCTTTATCACCCTTTTCCCCTGGATCACCTAAACCGAAAGATAAACAAACCAAATCAAAAACATTTTCCATAGATTTTGCTAAAACGTGAATGATACTGTATACAACAAATGTGTAATTTACAGTAAACTGAAAGTAATTTTATATATAACAGCTTCAAATAAAGTACTGTCATACATGCTGACTGTCCTGATGAATTTTGGTGATGTAAGTACAGTTGAAGTCAGAATAATTCTGCATATTTTTGTTTCCCAATTTCAGTTTAACGGAGATAAAATTTCAACACATTTCTAATCATAATAGTTTAATTAACTCATTTCTAATAACTGATTTATTTTATCTTTGCCATGATGACAGCACATAATATTAGACTAGATATTGTAACGTGAAGTGCCGCTAAAAACAGAGGTGCGGATACAAATGCAGAATCTTTATTTAGTCAATTGAGGAGCAAACAGATGTATGAGGGCAATCCAGAGTTGTGGTCAGTAAACAGGCAGAAGGTCAACAGGCAGGCAGCAGGCAACGTACATTGTTACATTAAAGAACTTATTAATTATTTGTTCTTTTATTATATATATATATATATATATATATATATATATATATATATATATATATATATATATATATATATATATATATATATATATATATATATAGATTTGTGTTTTGTTTATGCATTTGGAGCTGATGTTGTGTTGCACGCTGTGGAGCATGTGCAGGTCTCTCTCTCCCTCTGGAGCTGCGCTTGATTGTGGTCCAGCTGTGTTGTGAGTGGGAGGGTATATAAGCTGGAGGACAGGAACAAAGGACGGATCTTTCTGCTCGGCGCAGGTCGCAAATCTCCGTCGTCGTCGTTGTTCTGAGCGTCTCCTATCTCCTGCCCCAGATTGTTGGTTGACTTACTGGTGTGATTGATTGATTTCTTTAGCTGACAATTTAATTCTTTTCTAAACTGCTCGCCATTAGATCTGAGCCTGTGTGCTTTTCACTTATTAAATATATATATATCATTTTGGTTTTAAACAGAAGCGGTAGGTTGGGAATCGCCATTTACTTTAAAAACATTTTCTCCTGGTTTGTGGCAGCGAGGGAGAAAGGGGGTCCGTTCTTCTTACCTCGCTTAAATGATCTAAGATGATTTGGCAGATCCTGGATCTTTTAATCTTGATCTCTCGCTAATTTGGTTCTTCAAACAAGTTTGCGAATCAGACTAGAATGTCTGGATGAACTGATCTGAGATCGCTGCGTGTGTTGTGAAGGACAGATCTATCGATCCTCGAAATCATGATCAGCAATGCAACGATTGGCTGACGGCACAGCAGCGTAATGACATCATCTGATTAATATTCAATTATCCATGTGAGCAAAATTACATCAAATTAGCAGTAAACGGTTTGTTAAATATGACACGCAGTAACCCTCTACATTTGTGAGCTGCAGGCTTTACACTTTCATGTGTCAAGAGTATTCATCATGTATTTCAATGCAAATCAGTGTATTTAGTTCTACATTTAGAGAAGATTTTCTTTATTATAGTAGCCGTTTTTTAATCAGTGTAAAGAATAACTGGTTGTTTACAAAAAGCGTTTTCATATTGGTAAAGGCGTCTGCAACTTTTGTGAAGCATCAAATCACCGGCATATTAACTATCAAAACATGTTTATGACTGCATAAATGTAATATTGCTTTGAAAAAAAGTCACATATTGTGCATTTCTATTATACACAATTTGTACTAAAGCAATCAAAAAAGTTTATATCAATAAGTTTTCTCTTTGCACCACCAGGTGGCAGTCTTTGTACTTTCATTTCGAGGGTGCAGATTGCATACGTTTTATTAACATGTATAACTTTATTTATTTTATTAATGACTATAACCATTTTCCCAAGTGTATATAACTACTACTGTAAGAAAATATCAGAATTCAGAACATACTTTCTGTATTATCTTTGCTTGAACTGACCCGATCTAATCCTGTTTATATGAATTGAACCTGCTCCCGATCAGGTTTGACCTAGCAGAACTGTTGCTATGACAACAACTCTCGGATCAGCTTTGAAGAACGAAACGATCCTGGATCGTGTCAAATCGTCAATATCCAAATCCAGCTAACTGAGTAATCCACGTACGAAGAACGAACCCCAGGGAAGTTTGTTGTCATTTTATTTGGGATAATTTTTATTTGGTAAGTTAGAAATATTTCCCTTGCAAGTTAGCTGACTTTTTGTTTATTATTTTGGCCTGGATTCCCTTCCGATGGGATGCTTCTAATATCTTTGTTGTCTAAGAAAATAATGAACCTTGTTACTTCTTGATAAATGTTGTGATCTTTGTGAGTTGGGACAGGAGAAAGGGAAAACCCTAAATTGAGTATTTAAGTTTAATTCATTTATTTATTTACTCTCTTGTTATTGTTCCCACCAACCCTAAACTAGTCGGGACGTAACAATTGGGGGCTCGTCCGCTCGTTTGCTCGATAGTTTTTTCTTTAAAAATTAGCTTGGCTGTTTTTAATAGGGGAGGAGCTTAAGTAAACTTTAAATGGATTTTGATCTAATTAAGTTTTCTCTCTTGCCCACGTTAGAGGAATATGATAGGTGTAGAAAAAAAGATTTAATTCTAATAGCGGAGTTAACAGTTTCAAAAGAACAAAAAAAGCAGGTTATAAAAGATGAGTTGTACATCAAGTTGGTGGAGGCCGGCGTTTTGCCTAGTCGCGCTGTACAGGGTTCCGGCAAACAAGGCGAAAGTCAAAACACATGGCAAAACAAGGTAAGGAAAATGCGTCGTAATGTTCACATACAGATACATACAAGACTCAGCCATGAAGTGTGTGTGTGCGCTGTAATTAAAGTCCACGTAATCAGTTCGTAATTATCCTCCGGCTGTGAGAGTGTAATCATGCAGGATTAGGAACCGTTTGTGTGTGTGTGTGTGGTGCATGACTGGATATTGTAGTCTGTAAATGGCGGATTTGTAGTCATTTAGCGATCTGCAGCCACTTGATCACTGGTGATCATAACAGATATTCAAGACACTAGTGTTCAGTTTAAAGTGACATTTAAAGGCTTCACTAGGGTAATTAGAGTAAAGTTAGGGTAATTAGGCAAGTCATTGTATAACAGTGGTTTGTTCTGGAGACAATCCAAAACTAATAATGCTCAAGGCGGCGAATAACATTGAGCTTAAAATGGGTGAATAAATAAAATAAAACTGCTTTTCTTCTAGCTGAAATAAAACAAATAATATTTTCTCCAGTAGAAAAAATGTTATAGGAAATACTGCGAAAAATTCCTGAATCTGTTCATTGTTGTTTGGGAAATATTTGAAAAATCTCAGGAGAGCGAATCATTTTGACTGCAGTGTTGTGTGTATTATGTCTGTACCTTTCATGCCAGGAACCCCAGGCCGTCCCGGTAAACCCCGTTGACCCTGCAGCCCGTTGGATCCAGAAAGTCCAGGGAATCCTCGGGGGCCATGCGGGCCAGGTGTCCCCACAGGCCCCGGGGGTCCCACACGCGTGTAGCAGTGCTCACAGCTCCGGTGCTGACTGTGCTGAGAGCTCAAGAGAAGAGCTGGGATCTCCGCTGGAAAACACCATCAGATTTCTCATCAATATACAGGTTTAAAAAGTCCGCATGAGCTGAAAGCTGCGACCATTTTTTGTTTTCGAACTGTGACCCAGTTCCTAGAACAGAGGTCACCAATCCTGGTCCTGGACTGCCGGTGTCCCTGCAGGGTTTAGCTCCAACTTGCCTCAACACACCTGCCTGGATGTTTCAAGTATACCTGTTAAGACCTTGATTCGCTCTTATTATTTCAGGTGTGTTTACTTAGGGTTGGAGCTAAAATCTGCAGGACACCGGCCCTCCAGGAACAAGTTTGGTGATCCCTGTCCTAGAAAAATGGAATATTAAATAACAAAACAGTGGGCGTGGCTTGTTTTTTTCCACTGTGAGATGATTGGATGTAGTAAAGTAGGCATTTTATTCAGGAAGATAGAGAAAGGGGTTTGGGGACGATTATTTTAGCCCAGCTGACTCCTCCTCCTCACCATTTCTGTTGTGATGTCAAAACTGGAGGGGCGTGGTTAAGTAAGTTAGCCACGCTTAACACCTTAGAGAGACATAATGTGAGAATTTCGTAAATCTACTGTCTACATTTTTTGTGAATCTTAAATATATTAATTGCGGTACATTTTGTTGTACGTTTCAGATGGCTAATCCACTAGAGGGCGCTGTCTGCATTCTTGGAAATCCATTACTCAGGAAATGGTTTTGTACGTTTCATATGAGTCCACTAGAGGGTGCTGTTCAGAGGCAAGTTCAAAACAGAAAAAAAAAAATACAGAACAAAAAAATTATGATAATGAAAAATATTGGAGATACTTATGTGTACTCACATCGGAGGATGTCTCTGCAGATCTGCTGGATGTGCTGCTCAGACATTTCTCTGCCCTGAAAAACACACAGTCACTACAACAGGTCTTTCTGTCCAAGTGTCCAGCTGACAATAGCATGCTTTTCTAACATTTCCATAGGTTATAAATACATTACTAGGCATGTGATTAGCCAAGGGCAAAAAGGAAGGGATGGCAAATAGCCTACAATGTTGAAAACAAAATATTTAATCAATTATAATCCACAAGTCAACAGTAGTGGGCTAAATACAAAAACCTCACAAGAAATATTTTCCCAACGTACATATTTCACACTTGGCCACATAAAATACAGACCATCATCACAATAGATTGCCAGTTTTAGTTTTATAATGGAGTGGAAATGGAGTGTTTCAAAAACCAGAACACATTTTTAGTCATGAGACCAATTCAGCTAAAATGACGGAGGACATTGAACAGCATTTGTTTTAGATGCTGTTCATTTAAATAGAATTAAAGCATTAGCTCACCCAGAAATTATATCAATAATTACTCACCTTCATGTCGTTTCAACCCCCTGAGACCTTGATTCAATATCTGAACACACATGAAGATATTTTCGATGAAATCTGAGAGCTCCCTTAAATTATGGAGCTAATATAATGCCAAAACAATCTGAATTAGAATTGTGTTCATTTGAATTGTTGACGATTGTAATTGAATAAATCTGAAATGTTATATGCCGTTACAAATGTTTTGGATTTGAATTTCTTAATTTGAATTCGAATTTCATAACACAAACATTGAACAACTGAAATTTTAGACAACTGAATTTTTCAGGGCTGATTTTTTTATGGACGTATTTTGAAACTTCAGATTTTTTGAGTTCTGAATTCGTAAACTGTAGATATTGGGTTTGTTAAAATACAGTTCCAAATTTTCAAGATGAAGAAATTCAGAACATCAAATTCAATATTTTAAAATTCAAAACCAGAAATTCAGATGGTGAAATTCAGATTCAGCAGAAAGTATATTTCACATGCTCAATATTCAAGTAATGAAATTAAAATTCAAGAAATTCAAATTCAATTTCTTTCGGCATATAAACATTCAGATTTATTCAATTACAACAGTCAATTATTCAAATGAATACAATTCCAATTCAAATTGTTTTGGCATATTATTAGCTCCATACTCATCCTCCATAGACAGCAAGGGTCCCAAAATGTTAAAAGAACTTTGTCCGAACAGTCCATGTTACTTCTGCGGTTCAACTGTAAGCCCACAAAGCCCTAAGAACAGTTTTATGCACCAAAAAAGCTGCCGATTCTTCTGTGTCCGGTCAGGTTGTGTGTTTACTGCAGGCATTTTGCTTGTGTGTTTGACTGCTGACTCTAATGGTAATAAGCTGTATTATCCATATTAAATGCACACCATGACCTGACATGAGAGAAAAGATATAGACAAACAAAGTAGTTTTTACAGTTTATTTGGTGCACAAAACTGTTCTTGGAGCTTCGCATGATTACAGTTAAACCATTAAAGTCAACCGTTTGAATGGCTTAACAATGTTTTTTTTTTTTCCCTTTCTGGACTTTGAGCCTCATGGCACCGTTGCTGTCCATGGAGGATGAGAGAGGTCTCAGATTTAATCCAAAATATCCTAAAGGGGACCTATTATGGAAATACCACTTTTAAAAGAGGTTTAAACAGTATTGTGGACCAACAGTCTGTAGATATAACCAGCTTCAAATGGTAAAAATTGCTGAATTTTATTTCTTATAATCACACTTGACAGAAACAATCTGTAGAACACTTTGATTGACATTCACGCTTTGTACGTGTCATCAGAGGGTGAAAGCCCCGCCCACTAGTTACCATCTCTCCCCCATTAACAGAAACAGCCCTGAGTGAGAAGTTTTGAATCTGGCACTGTGCTGACACACAGGCATTTGTAGCTCCGCCCTCTTTTGAAAATAGCACAATCTCATTTGAATTTAAAGTGACAGTCACCAAAATGCCACATCAAAGCCTATAAGGGGCAGTTTCAGAAGTATTAAACATTATTTGTGTGGCATTTTGAGCTGAAACTTCACCACACACATTCTAGGGACATCAGAGATCTATATACAAAACGTTATAATGAGTCCCCGTTCATTTTGTGTCCTGAAGGTGAATGAAGCTCTCAGGGAGTTGGATTGTATTTGAATTATCAGAACTGCCATCAAATAGTGCAACGTTTTGTTTAACAGTATAGTCACGTGAAAACACACACCGGTCGTCCCTCAGGTCCAGGTGGCCCCGGGTGGCCGATTTCTCCGCTCTGTCCTCTGGGTCCTGAGGGTCCCGTCTGTCCACGCTGTCCTGGGAGCCCTTGGTGTCCGTTTAGGCCGCTCTGACCCGGCTCTCCTGCCGTCCCTTTCTGACAATCACACAAACACAGCTCAACACACACACACACACTAGCCCCTTTCACACAGTGATACCAGTATATATTTGAAATAACTTTACCGGGCGGTACATTTAAATATGTGCTGCTCACACAGATGAGGACATTCTGGAATTTTCCCAGAAAGGACCATTCACACATCCAGTCCAAAATAATCTGATTTCAATAAATTCTGACATCATTAACCAAAAATGAGCTCTAAATGAGCTCTAAATGGTATTTGTAAACATGAAGGGGGTCAGTCTTTTTGTTGATGGTTTTAGTTTAAGCATTAACGTAGCATTCATGTAGCGCTTTTGTCCCAGAGTCGGACCAAATAATTATAGAGAAAAAAAATCCGCTACCATCCAAAGGCAACAGTTTATCCAACCCAGGCTCATTCTGAAAATGTACCGCTATACACATTTCTGTAAAGCGCCAAATACATCTCAAGAGGTATGTTTTTTGCAGTTTTTGCAAATCCACCAGAGGCCGCTGTGTATGCTTTATCAGATATTCAATTTCTCACCTGCTCTTCTCATGTAAATCCACCAGAGGCCGCTGTCCACTGACTGATTTACTGACTGATCCTCCTCCTTCCCTAAACCCAACCGATAGTGTTTTCAAAAGCACAGATTGACCAGAACATCCAAACCCCTAAACCCAACTCCTTGTGATCAACTCCTCTCTGCGTCCCAAGTCCACTGACGTACGTGGCGAGCTACTGGACAAACTGGTAACTGTGGTAAAGCCGTCCATACGGAGGTAATCGGTCAGCTGGTAAGCCCAAAAAGGAATGGCGTCATACCGCCCCGTAGCGTTTGTTATTAAGACGAAATGCACCATCACACCTCTGGCTACATAATTCTCGATCTCTGGTTTATCATGAGCATGCTTTTTTTCCACAGTTCATACTAAGAAGGAAGGAAACGACTAACAATCAGCTAAATGTGTCTGGAAAAGGATTCAAGGTGTTTATTTTTATAAACTGTGCAGATTTTAATGCGTCAGAGTGGTCGGAGTTGGTCAGCACAATGTGAACGCGCTCTTTCTGGCAATTTTCCTTCTGCGTTCACATAGAGCAGCATTCCGGGAAATTACCGGTAATATTACAACGTCTCTTTCCAGTAAATTGCTGTAACAAATTTACTGGTATTTTTAAAAAGGGCCCATTCACACATGATCCCTTTCCGGAAAATTGCAGGTAATTTTCGGGGAAAGTCTGTATGTTTGAAAGGGGCTAATAATGATGATAATGAGCGTTGGGATGTGCTGGTTTTTGCTCACCTCTCCTTTTTTCCCAGCAGCTCCTGGTAAACCCTGATTATGAACAGAGAAAACACATGTAATAAGTGTGGTAGACCATAGAGCTGAACAATATATTGTTAAAGCATCAATGACAATGGGCTCTATTTTGAGGGTCCATGCGTAAAGCGCAAAACACAGGGTGCAAACGCTTTCAGGGCATGTCAGGATGCATTTTTGCTAATTTAAGGACGGGAAATCTGCCTTGCGCTTCGGCGCATGGTCTAAAAGGGTTGAGTTTATTTTCTTAATGAGTTATAGGTGTGTTTTAAGAATAAACCAATCAGAGTCTCATCTCCCATTCCCTTTAAGAGCCAGCTGTGTCACGCCAAGAGTGCATTCGCTATTTACAGGACGCAAAGTAAGTCTAAGTGGAAAAAACGAGCATTTCACAAGCAAACAGTTAACAGAAAACTGCTGAACAGAGCATCTACTGCGTGAGAATGAGAGATGATGGATCTACTTTCACTTTCGCTCTTGGATAGGGAAACCTTTACGCACAGACATCAATTAGTCTATAAATAATTACTTTTGTTTGTTAAGCGCAAATATTCGTTTCAAAACTATTTCTAAATTCAGTTCTAATTTCCAGCAAACGAATAAATGAACAATAATAACAAAATGTGCTCAAAAATCTGAGTTATATCCTAAAACACATGCTGTGCCCCATATGGTCTAAAACCTGACAGGTGGACAAATCTAAGCTTGTTTTTAATAAAACAAATATAAATATGGATATAATAAATAATACTGCTAATAATAATAACATTATACAAAAGCAAATTGTTATGAATGAACTGAAAAAGCCTCCCGAGATGAAGAAGACATAAAAGCAGTGATTTTTCATATTTATGTCGGCTAGAAAATAATATGTTTTGTAATATTTTAATCCTTTATATTTATATTCTATATCTATTCTTATTATATACTATATATATCCTTAATATTTACATTTTTTCATATGTAAAGATATTTGCCTATTGCTCTCTTGTGTGTATTAAGCAGTGTGTAAGCGAGGCTCAACTCTGCGCTGGAGTTTAGACCGGGTTAGTTTTGGTCTAATGAAAAATCTATTTTAGTTTCTCAAAATAGCGACGCGCCAGCGGTCCGCCTCAGAACGCTTCCTTTTTAGAGCAGAACGCCTATGGGAACACATATGAGCGCTAATGCATTTGCTATTTAAACAGCCTAGCGCAACACCCCAAAACCACTCTTGCGCCAAGCTGAAACTACCAAAAGACTATTGCACCGCGCCTTGGGCCCCACTGTGCCGGGTGTATGATAGGGCCCAATGTGTGCATCTGCAATAGTCACATCACAGGATTTGATTATATAAAAAAAAAAAAAAAAATTCCCCACAAGATCAAAATTTACTAGTATCCTTATACTGTTATTGCAAAATAACTCAAGGGTCAACACCACACACAGAAACTTACATGACCACCAGGTCTCCCCGAGTCTCCTCTTTCACCTTTCATTCCCTGTTCAAAAGCAAATATACATACAAATATTTTAGTCACATAGTTAGATGAATATGTAATGGTTTATCTAAAACATGTTCAGTGCAATCACTAATACCGTATGCACCGCGGTACACTCTTGAGTATACAGTAACTTGCAACCCAGGCTCATTCTGGAAACGAAGTCCCGCGGGCGTTTCTGGAGGCTGCGATTTACGTGGCCGGAGGTACGTATGGCTGCTGTGAAATCTGAAAACACGGTTGTAATAAAATTCATGGCACTTTGGCCGCTGGGAAGAAGGAGGCAGAGAACCGACGTAGTTTTAAAATATTTAATAATAACAAAACAAACGGAGGGCAGCTCCTCACGGAGACTGCCGTCAAACTGAAAGCAAAAGTAAAATATGTCCGGGCCCGGTCCTCTCTCGGCTTCCTCTGCCATCGTTCCTCCTTTAATTGTCCAGAGCTCCTTCCGTGAGATCCGAGGCAGGTGCGCACCGCAGGTGTATCCACTTACGCGGTGGCCTCACTCCGTTCCCACGGCTCTCGGCCACGCCCCTTTGCCACAACGGTCAAAATCAGACAAGTGCTTTTCTTTTTCTGGATGGCTTTTGTTAACTGCTGCTTGGGTTTAGGGAAAGCGAGCGGATGGGCCGGAGGGACAATCGATAAAACTGGTTGGGTTTAGCGAAGGAGGAGGAGGAGGGTGGGTCAGCTGATTGGCCGGCCGCCCAATCAATCATTCAGTCAGTTGGACAGACGGTTGCTCGACAGTGGTCTTCGGCGGCTTAACCCGAGAACAGCGCGGGCACGAATGCCGCCCACAAAAAGCATTTGAGATGCGAAAAAGTGCGCACAGCGGCCTCTAGTGGATTCGCAAAAACAAAATGGCACAAATACATACCTCCCGGAACGTATTTCGCAGTCTCCAAAAACGTCCGCAGGGCTACGTTTCCAGAATGAGCCTGGGTTAGTAACTTGAGTATCTGAAATCTATGTTCAAAACTATAATAAATATCATAACACGTGTCATGCTTTAAAGATTTCAAGTGACCAGTAATCTGTTAATGCTTAAATTTAAAATACATAGTCCTAAAATAAATAAGTAAATGCATAGGTGAATACACAAGTAAACAAACAAATACGTTGATAAATATGTAATAAAATAAGTGAATGTGTAAGAAAATACACAAGTAAATGAGTTAATGCTAATCTTAGTTGGTCGCAATCATGAGATTATTTTTATGGTTGAATAATATTTTTAAGCTATAGTAGGCCCTCTTTTAAATTTAATTGAACCAAAAAGAACATGTAGCCATTTGTTAATTTATTAAAATAAAATAATAATAGAATTATAATAAGTGTGTTTGAATTACAGTTTGTGTTGAACTTATACGTTGTTTTTATTTTTGTGTGTATTGTAAATTTTATAACTCCAATACTGACGTATTATGATTAATAACGATGATTTCATAAGCGCACAGTGCATGTATGAAAAGCACCAACATTTTTTGCAGCTTTAGTTTATTTTTGAGTTTTGAATAATTGCACAGCCTTGCTTTTGGTTAATTAATCCAAATGTCACTGAGACATTCTTCATAATACTGTAAACAGCCATTTTTACCCTCGAATTCAGCGATTCTGTTTGTATTTTCTACATTGCAGAAATCAGTGACATGGGGGAACGATTCATAAAAGCGTCTTATCATTATAAATATACTGTAAACTGTAAAGAGTTTAATCTAAAATTTACAGTAACTTTGGTTAGCAGTAAGAATGTAAAATTTACAAGCAGACTGTAAAAATTACGATTGTGCTGTATCTTTTACATTACAATTTTGCACTTGTAAAATTACATTCTGACTGGCAATTAAATTTGACTGTAAGTTACTGTAAGTTTTGGAGTCAATTGTAATTATTAATTCATTCACAGTGCACTTTCAATTTAACAATCTTACAGGCAACCACAATTGTCAGCAGTTTACTGTAAATTTTACTGTAAATTGTAACTATTAGTTTACAATGTACTTGTAAATTTAGAGTCGCACTGGCAGCCAAAATTGTCAGTTATTTACTGTAAATTGTAATTATAAGTTTATAGTGTGCTTGTAAATTCACAGTTGTACTGGCAACTTATTTTGCTAGTAAGTTATAGTAAATTTTACAGAAATTTTTACAGCATAATTAAACTGACAAAAGTTTGCATTTATGCATATCAGCTGCATTTTATCATATAATTAATGTATAACTCATGAAATTACAACATTTTCTTTGGTGATACAAGCCTAAAGACATTTGCCAACATCCACCAGTGATCGTGACACAATGCAATGTGGTTTTCAGGTTTATTTTTATAGCCAAAACTTTCAAGAAGAGAGAGAGTTGAAGTTGAAGCTTCTCTTTCAGTCTAAAAACCATGAGATCAGAAATAAAATCTACAAAATTTCACCAAAATCCTCATCCTTAACTCCATCAATAACATTTTTCTTCCAATAAATCACAACTGAATATGATGAACTTACATCTGCTCCTCTTTCACCAGTGTCTCCTCTTTGACCCTGTAAACACATTTGACAGGAGAAATGCTGAAAAACTGAGGAAGAAAAAGTTACTGCTCATATTTTAACTTTAAATTTAGTGAAACCTTTAAGCAAAAAAAAGTGACCTACTTTGTGATTAAACTGTAATTTAACTCTTAAACTAGATAAAAAGAATCTAAATAAACAAATCTTTTTACTCTTTCCTTTTTTAATCATCAAAATGGCTTTACAATATGGTTACAATAACAACAACAACACTTTACAATAATTTTATTAGTTAATGTTAGACAATCACATGAACAAACAATTTACAATACATGTATTACACCCTTTACTTGTTTCAAAGATTTCAATTAGTTTGTGAGATTTTACCAGTTTCCAACATTCTTCAAAATATATTCTTTTGAGTTCAACAGAAATAAACCCAAAGAAACATAGATAGCTATACCTACCAAATATGGATGAAAAAATGATGAAACAATTTTCATTTTTGGGTGAATGTAACTACCCCTTTAAGACACTCAAACTCTACTCCACGTATTCATAAGCTCCTGACTCAACTGGTTGTACCTATTAAATAACGTACCCATTATTCAATTAATATATGATAATTATTATTATTATATCTTAAAAAAGTATTGTGATTATTGTATTTACTTATGTCACCGAGAAGAAACAGAGAGAACATTGTGAGCATACTAAGACCACAGAAATTTTTTCTTTTAAAATCAAATAAATAAATACATAAGCAAATAAGAAAATATATAAATAAATAAATTAGTAAATAAATAAGTAAATAAAACATAAATAAATAAATAAATAAATAAGTAAATAAATACAGAAGGAAATAAATAAGTAAATAAAACATAAATAAATAAGTAAATACATAAATAAGTAAATAAATAAATAAGTAAATAAAAAGATAAATAAATAAGTTAATAAATACATAAATAAAAAAATAAACTAAGTAAATAAATAAAAAAGTAAATTAATAAGTAAATAAATGAATAAGTAAATAAATAAACAAATAAGTAAATAAACAAGTAAATAAGTAAATACATACATAAATAAACAAACGAGTAAATAGATAAGTAAATTAATAAATAAGCTAATAAATAAACAAATAAATAAATAAATAAATAAATAAATTAATTAATTAATTAATTAATTAATTAATAAATAAATAAGAAAATAAATAAATAAATAAATAAATAAATAATAAATAAATAAATAAATAAATAAATAAATAAATAAATAAATAAATAATAAAAAACAATAAATTAATAAAATTTCCGAAATACCAGGCAAAATACTAGCTGTGGATTAACTATCTGTTATTTACTGGATAAAATACAATGAGCATAAGGTCTGAAAAATCTGCAAATCTTAAAAGCAAGTCACCAAAATATGTTCATAAAATGTGTATTGCCATACAAATCTATATGCATTTAATTTCTTAAATGCATTAAAAGCATAGTTCACCAAAATCGTCATTATTCATTTTCCCTTTACTGGTTTCAAACCTTTATTAGTTTCTTTTTCACACTAAACACAAAAGAAGATATTTCGAAGAATGCTTAAAACCTGTAACCATTGACTTCCATTGTATCTGTTTTTCCTAATAGAAGTCAATAGTTACAGGTTTTCAGCTGTTTCAAATCTTATTTTGTGTTCAATAGAATAAAGGTTTGAGGGAGTAAATAGTAAGTAAAGTTTTTTGGGTGAACTTTAACTGAAGGAGCTACATCGTTCTGAGTTTACTCCGATCATTTGGATTAAAAAACACTGCGTTGCATTTCCATTTGCGGTTTCAACCTTTTAACCACTGTATACTTATGATTTGTGTACTTCGAAAGTTAAAACGAGTTTCTTTGAAGTCTATAACATCTGAAACACCACATGTCGGGCAGACCCTGCTCATAATTTACAGTGTTGGAGATTATGTTCAAAAGTGTATGCAAAAACTCAGGGTGATGGATTCATAACTATATCGCCACTTCTGAGCAGCAGTAATTAAGATTTAGCTCTAAATTTAAAAACAGCTGTCAATAATTCATGCCGTTTTTACCCAAAGAGGCCAACGCTTGTAAACCGCAAGCAAGATTTTCATGAATGCTTTTCTTGTTTGGCATGACAGAAATGATCATTACCTTGCTGGAGTTAATAGAGCTGCACTTGGAAAATCAGCTCGCCATAAACTGAGCTTTTGCCTCCAACACTGACCAAAAACGCAATGCAGAGTTTCTTTCTCATCAAAGTCAGAAGATGCAAATGTAATTTGGACACTGGAGCGAAATCAGTTCCACAAAGTGCATGTCACATCCAAACCTCAGATATACAGCTGAAGTCAAAATTATTCTTAATATTTTCAGATATTTCCCAAATGGTGTTGAACAGATTCAGGAGTTTTTCATAGTATTTCCCATAATATTTGTTCTTCTGGAGAAAGTCTTATTTGTTTCACTTTGGCTAGAAGTAAAGCAGTTTTTTTTTTATTAAGGGAAACCGGAGCACCTGGAGGAAACCCACGCGAACGCAGGGAGAACATGCAAACTCTACACAGAAACGGAAACTGAGCCGAGGATCGAACCAGCGACTTAGCAACCTTCTTGCTGTGAGGCGACCGCACTACCTACTGCGCCACTGCTTCGCCCACGGCATTTCATTTAATTCTGAAATCTAATTAAACCAGAATAATATATTATTATACCTCTCTCGTAATACTCATTTGTCATTTTATTTATTACGTCCTTGACCAGCAAATCAGAAAACTCCACTGGCCAGCCCTTACTGTTTCGTTTTCAGAGCTGCTGCCAACTCCGGTCAAAAGCAGCGCTCATCAGTGCTAAGTGCGGAGTTGGACAGTTCCATTTTTAGACTTTGGACTTTGAATTTGATCGACAAACTTACAATAAACGAAAGTTTTCCATTAATTATTAACATTAAATTACGTTCATGTTCTGCCTTAGACCAGTTACATGTTTTCAATGCAGTTTTTTCCTTGCTGCCTTCTCCGTGGTCTCAAGCCAGGGGATGCTAAGCCTTCCCCTGCCTTACACATGCTCCGCCTATGCTTTTACTGTATGATATTATCATTAAGAAAAATATATTATTCACCTTCATTCCTAGTGATCCTGGCATTCCTGGATGTCCAGGCTGACCGGAGGGCCCGTCTGCTCCAGGCTTACCCTTCATTAAAAAATAAACATAATAAATAAGGAGGAGAAATCAACTCCAGCACAACATCTTTTCTTTACCTTCAAGCGTATAATGATTGTTTTACCTCTGGTCCTGGTGGTCCTGCTTGACCAGACTCTCCACTTTCCCCTTTATTGCCCTAATAACGGAAAGTTGGGTTTGTGTCCAAGTTAGTGAGTAGAAACTTGTTTTAAGATCTCATTAAAAGCCTCGAGGAGGTAAACATTTATTCTGAACGCAGCCTTTCGTTCACAATGGCAGTCATGGATTTGTTATGTCATGCACGAGAATTAACTAGACAAAATCAAGATGAGTGTTCGAGAGTGTCAACACAGGATCACTGTAAATACGTACCCCCGTATGCATTTCTGAAGAGTGCGAATTAGGTCGCCAGAGGAATGCATGGCTGCATTTAGTCTTTACAACGAACACTACGGGGCGGTATGACACCGCATACGGCTTCTGCTCCTGTTAGTGTTAACAGCTGACCGATTACCTCCGTGTGGACGATACAAGCTGTGTTACCAGTTTGCCCAGTGGCTCGCCACTTACATCAGCGGACTTGAGATGCAGAGAGGAGTTGACCACAACTAAGAGGTTCGAGTCCGGAGAAGAATGGCGGATAAGACAAAAACACAAGCCAAAAATAAATTAAACAAATAAATAAATGTCGTAAGATCTGAAAATGTGGTAAAAATCAGGCGGCTGCAAGGGCTTTTCTTTACTGGATTTCTTTTGAAAGCACTACTGGTTGGGTTTAGGCATGTCCAAGCTCAGTCCTGGACAGCCGGTGTCCTATACACCTCCTACACACCGGGACGTTTTTAGTTTGCATTTATCGTCAGCGTTTTACGAGACGTTTTTCAGTGTTCAAACCCAAGCGCTTTTCACTGGCGTCAAGCTGAAGAGTATGCTAAATCACTCTTTTGACATTAGATGGCGCTGCACAACTATAAGCTTCTGACATCCGCTTATAACACAGAAGAAGAGGAGGAGAGGAAGTTCGCACGTTTGTTTATAAAGTTACTGGTGACTCGAACAAGCATGGATGGTTCAAGCAGCAGCTCCAGCTCTAGCAATGAAGAAATGATTAGTGTTCACAGAGCAATTGACGGTTTTGCGCTTGAGCGCCTCCAAGTGCTGCTTACTGTAACTTCAGCAGCTCCGTGCACATGAACAAAAGTGCCGATCTGATTGGTGGAGAAAAAAACGAGTATAAGGCGTTTTTTTTTAAATGACGCTTTTGCGCCTGGCGTTTTGCTCGTTGGTGTGCACAATCACATTGACGACCTTTATTTAGTTACGAGGCGTTAAACGTCGACAGAAAACGCGAGCAAAAAACGTCTCGGTGTGCACAGGCCTTAAGTTCCAACTCCAATCAGACACACCTGGGCTAGCTAATCAAGCTCTTACTAGGCTTTCTCAAAACATCCTTGCAGGTTTGTTGAGGCAAGTTGAAGTTAAAATCTGCAAGACACCGGCCCTCTAGGATCGAGTTTGGTCACCCCTGGGTTTAGTGGGTGAGTAGGGGGGATCAGTCGGTCAGTCAGTGTGTCAACAGCGGCCTCTGGTGGCTGTACATGAGAACAGCAGGCATGAATGGCACTCGCGAGAAAAAATGGAGATCTCAAAAAGCATACACAGCGGCCTCTGGGGGATCCATGAAGACAAAAACTGCCATTTTGGGGCCCCCAAAGATACTATTAGGGGCTGCAATTAACACCCTCCCCCGTCTTCAATTTTGTCTGCTACATTCCATCCCACATCCCATCTCCCCTCCTCTGCTCTTCACTTTCGTTTGCAACAACCAGGGCTTAATTTGTGCCGCAACACGCCAGATCCAGATCCGGCACCTCTAAAATCTGATCCGGCTCCTCATTTTACCGATCCCCCTCCTCAACCGCCCTCCTCCCTCGTCCGCTGTTCACTTTCACTTCCTTTCGCGACTCCCCAACTCTTCACTTTTGTTCACGACACTCCTCCGCCATCCACTGCACCAGTCCATAAATACCCCCCCCCCACACACACACCTTTACACTTTCATGCATGGCACGTCTCCATCCTCGGGTAACATGCCGCATCCGTAACCCCGATCTGTTTCGGCATCTCGCAATTCCCAAATTAAGCACCCTCGCCCAACAATCCCCCGCTCTTTAGTTTGTCATAGGGCCCGCACCGGCCAGTGGCGTCCCTACCTCCTGGGACGTATTTTGAGCACTCCAGAAATGTATACAGGAGTACAGTACGTATCCATAATGAGCCTGTGTTGGAGAAATGAGGGTATCTTTCAAGCACTGTCCTTTTGTTTTTATTAAACTGTAATGCACTTCAACAAAGGTTTCATTTGCAGTAAACTAATTTACATGTTAATGTAAATTACTGCTTAAATGTGATGGGGAACATTTGATTCTGTTACTAATAATTATTGTTTTAATTAGTAACTATTGTTTGTTGTTGTGTACTATTAACTATTAGTAATTATTGTTTAATTTAACAAAAAATAAATACATTTAAGGAAGCAGGGAAAAAAGCATTCACAGACAAATCTCCAACCCAGGCTCATTCTGAAAATGGACTCTTATATACATTTATGGAGAGCACCAAACACATCCCAGTTGGTAAAGTTTTGCTGTTTTTTTTTCTGGGAATCCACCAGAGGCCGCTGTGTATGCTTTCTCATATCTCAAATTTCCCCCACGAGTGCCAATTGTGCCTGCTGTTCTCACGTAAATCCACCAGAGGCTGCTGTCGACTGACTGACTGACCAACTCGCCCTCCTCCTTCCCTAAACCCAACCATTGGTGTTTTTCAAAAG